AAGTGCACGGAATGCACCCAGCCCTGCAAGCGTGTCGTTGCGCGGCTAGACAGCCGCTCAACGCTGGCATTTAACGCCATCCAGGGGCGGCTAGATGGAAGTGAAGGGAGGGGACAGGTGCAAGCCATAGCGAAGTTGGACGACGTGCAGCGGACGGCAGCGCAAGTGGATGAACACGCAAGAACGAGTCATTCCTGCAGAGCCGTGATGAACGTTGTTCGACCTTCTGTCTTGGTGGTGATGGTACCGGTGACGGTGAACGAGTCGTAAGCAGCGTACGCCATACGATCATTATTGTCTGCGAAGCTGGCGCTGCCGAAGAACTCGTCGTAGTTCGGCAACTGTTGCATGACGGCAATGCTGTCGGTGCACACCGGATAACTGCGGCTGCCGATTGTGAGGACGAGCGGGAGGACCGGTAGTGAGCCGACTACAGTGACAGAAGTGGGGTTGGGTGACAGGGTGGCCGAGGCGTGTGGACCATCCGACGGTAAAACAAGGGCACTGCGGCTACGCTGCTCCCAAGCCAATACCATATCAGTCGTGTCGGCGGGCACGGTGGCCGCGGTAGTCCGCTGAACAGCCGCCTGGAAGGTGTGCACTCGTTTGGGAGGGCGCTTGCCGGGGGCACTCGCTGCTGCTACAAGCGAGCCGCTGAGGAAGACGCTATTCATATAAGCTTTGCTATTGGAGGGGCTGATCTTGGCACCATACACCATGCAGGCGGCTGGCAGAGGTTAAGGCCTGACTTCTGCTCCCAGTCGACCCAGTCGACCCGGGTTCAAATCCGCCTGCCGGCTCCTCGGGTGTTTGAGGAGTGATGAAATGGGAGGTGGCCCCCCATCTTATGGACGGTGTAGGACGTGATAATATCAACTTGCGAGCTGACCAGGAACTAAGTTGATGCGCCGTTGATCCGCTAGATTTGGTTGGATGCTGGTGGTGAGTTGCCGAACCCAACGAATACATTCTGAAGTCGGATGGGGTGACGGATTAGGGTGCCCCTCTAGCAGGGGAGAGCAGGGACTGCCCCGGGAAAGGGGGCCGCTGGCGAAGTTAACCACCCTGTAACAACATACATACACGTAAAGGGGCGTGCTGCTATCGGCCGCTGCTTGTAGCTGAGCGACGAAGTCGTCGGGAGCGGATTCCCTGATGGCGAGCTCCACGCGTCCGGCGTCGGGACTGTCACCGTTGCCGCACGCGACCCACGCCTTAAACTTGCGGAACGGCCCGCCCCGGAACATCCCGCCGTGTGGGATGAGCAGGAGGGCGCTGCCATCCGACGCGTGCTTGTCTTCGGGGCGGGCCCTGTCGCTGCCGACATCGTAAACGGGGAACCGAAGCCTGGCGCTGTAGAGCATTGGGACAGCGGAGGAGGGCTCCACGGAAATCCGGGTCGCTGACGAGACTTTAAACTGCCCCACCGTCAGCCCAGCGAAACGAGAAGTTATGAAAGGCGGCAGGGAAGCTGCATCCACGTTGGCGAACGTCACGCGGTGGCCGAACGCGTGGCTGCTCTCCAGCCTGCCGAGGATGACATCGTCAATCTGCATAATTACTATCCCCTGGCCGGCGGTATTCACGCCAGCGATGAAGCTGCCGTAGCGGCTCTGGGCGCCGGCAAAGAGGCGGTCCTCATTCGTTTCTGTGGGGCCGGCCGTAAACGTCACATGAAACGTGACGCTCCTTGAATCCCTACGTGTTGCAAAGGGGCGTCAAATGGGGAGCGTTACACGATATTCAAGGTGCACGCGAGCGGCGATGAACGTGACGGAAGACATCTGTGCTTAACAGGCAGCGGCCAAATATGCGCGCCGGAGCTGATAGATGCGTCTATTTCGCACGGTGAGAGGCGGAGCGTAAGTACCTTACTGGTGTGAACACGCTCTTTGCATGTAGCAGCTCGCTTACATGGCGACGGCGGGAGGGCCGACCGTCGACGTGCTGCTCTGGGACGCAGCCGTGTCCAGCCTCTGACGCTTGGCGTCCGGTGGGTCGATACTACTGCGGGAGTTGGTCGAAGGTGTAGAAAGTCAGGAGATGGGATCGGATAAGGTTCGCATAACGCATAACAAGGTGTCGCATATGTTCGCATAACGCATAACGCATAACGCAAAACATGGGACGCAGCAACGCAAAGGATGCGAACAGCGTATTTACGCACTAGAGCAACGCAAACCGACCTGCTGGTCACCAGGGTGCGACATCGCAGATTGTAGGACGATGTAGGCTCTAGGCGTTGTCGCTTGGGGTCCGGCGAATCCATCCGGCTGCGAGCGTATGTCTGAAAACAGGTATGTCTGAAAACGGTGGAGGCACTTGGAGTAAGCAGGCTTGCAAAGAGGTAAGTGCAGGATAAGTGGGGAGGAATCGGCGCGCTAACAATTATACATCCGCGGCAGCGTGTCGTATAGATGACAGATGTCCGAGGATCGGCAGACGCGGACATTGGACGCGCACGCGCTGCGGCTGCGAGCCTGGTCCAGCTGCCAGGTCGCGTGATTGCGGTGGCCTTGAACGACTCCGAAACAGGAGTAGAGTTATACAGCGAAGACAGGCGTGGTCAGGCGATAACGCGGATTGGTGCCAATTCGCGTGATTGTGGCCGCGTCTAGCGAAACCGAAGCTCAACGTCGGACGCAGAACGTCGCCAACTCGCGCGATTGCGGTGACCTTTAACGACTCCGAAACAGGAGTAGAGTTATACAGCAAAGACAGACGTGCTTAGGTGATGATGCGGATTGCTGCCAATTCGCGTGATTGCGGCCGGGTCCAGTGAAACCGAAGCAGAAACGGAAGCCGGTAAAGACGCGGATAGCTGAGATTTCGCGGTAATAAAAGGATGTATACGCACGAGGTCGCCGCAGCGAATATGTAACGGGTGCGGTGCGGTGCGGTATGTGTGCGGTGTGGGCGCGGTGCGGCGCGGTGCAGACTAGACGGTGCGGAGCGGTCCCGAACGAAAAATAGAAGAAAAAAACGTGCGGGCGCCGGGCGAGGAAGCCAGCGAGCCGCAACGTAAACGTAAAAAAAAGGACACATCGACGCGCCGGCGCCGGGGTCGAACCGGCGACCGCGGCTCCCACAAGACATCGGAGCTAGCTGGCCCGACGAAGCGGCACACGGCCATGCTCCAGGGCGCCTTCCGCGGGCCCAGGTGTGGTGCGGTGCGGTGCGGGGCGCCGAACCGAACGAAGGAAGAAGACGAAAAAAGCGGCGACGGCGGGGCGCGAACCGGCGACCGCGGCTCCCACGCGGCGACGGAGCTAGCCTAAAAGGCGCGGCTCCGAAACCGCGGACGGCACCCCAAAAAACGCGAAAACAGCAAGCGGCCACCCGGACGGACGGACGGACTAGACGCGGGCTGCTTCGCCCGCGAGGGGGCCGTAGTCCCCCGGCTGGGCGGCACGAGTCCGACGTAGTGTGGCTTAGTATGTTTGAGTACTGCGCTGACACATATAGACGTGGTGCAGTCCATGCGGTGCAGTGCGGTGCACCGAAGGAAGGAAGGCCAAAAAAGCGGTGAACACTTACCGTGTGTGACTATGGAGACCTTGCAGGAAATGTTGTATTTAACGCCATCCAGTGGCGAGGG